TCGCAGGGGCAAGCTATCTGTTCTCTCTGCTTCGGTGTACCGGCTTTAACAACGGCTGGCACAGGCAGGAGTACCCCCCCATCGCGGGGGCAAGCTGGCGCCTCAGCGCCTTCTGTTGTGGATGGTGAGCGTGGTGGCATCTGGTGGCGGACGGTGTCGGTATTGTCCGACGGTCCATCATCCAGACCGACAGTCCACGCCATGGTTCCCCTTCCTTGCGAACGAGTGATCGGCATCTTGATTCTGAAATTTCAGCAACTTTAAAACGGTAGTGATTATTTACCCGGTTCCGAAATACTAACGGATTGACGAATCCCGTTCGAATGACCAGCGTATGTGGTCCGGTGTATACGGATGATTCGGCTCAAAGGACCATAAAATGGTCCGGCTGGCAGTTCAATCGGAAGGATCCGGCTCGAAGGACCATAAAATGGTCCAGCCGGCAGTACAGGTGGAAGGATCCGGCTCGAAGGACCATAAAATGTGCCGGACGGGCGAAAATCTCCGGAGTAAATGTTGTCGGAGATACCCCGCGAGTCGCTCACGTCCTACACCTGTAGGTTCCAGACTCCTCCAACTGCCGTCTTTCACTGCCGTCTTTCACTGCCGTCTCTTTGGTTGCTGCGGATAAACTGTGGACTGAGGTTCAAAATTAAAATGCACGATTTGTAAATTAAAATAGCAAGGGAGTGGCCAGCGGATCGACTAATTAATTTGTCGCGAGATTTTACACTGTTATTTATTTATCACTATTTTTCAACTATGATTGTTCACTATATATTTTAAAACACAGATTTAATTAAACACACAGCGATATTAAAATTTCTATTGGTTTTCTAAAATTTCTATTCGTATTTTTAAAATATCTGTTGGTAATATCAAATTTCTATTGGCAGTAACACGTTTCTATTGGTATTCTCTACAATTTCTATTGGTAATTTTAAATATCTATTGAAAGTAACAAATTTCTATTGGTAGTATCCAAAATTTCTATTGGTAGCAGCTGGTTTTCTAACACTACTGACTAGCAGCTATTAATCAACTAAAATTAGTTGAATTTAAACACTTTTGTAACTGCGAATATCAGTTACCACTTTTTCCGTCTAGCTAACACTTTTCACGAAATGTAACGGCGAAATTTCCGTTACCACTTTTTTCAGCTAGCCAACACTTTTTCACTATATGTAACTGCGAATATCAGTTACCACTATTTTTGGCTAGCTGACACTATTTTTCTATGTGCAACTGAGAATTTTCAGTTGCCACTTTTTTCGACTATGTGTAACTGCGATTTTTCAGTTACGACCTTTTTCGGCTAGCTAAACTTTTCTATTTCACTTTAACTTTTCACTGTGTTCTGCTACTAGTCACTTCAGCTACTACCGGATACTGCTGCTTGTTACTGGTAGTTCTTCCTACTACTACAATGTTACTGTGATTTGCCCCCATAAGGTAGACTTCGGCTATACTCTATAGAGAGCCGCTTGCCAATTTCCGGTTTTGCCCTTTTATTATCAAACATTTTCGTTATGTATTTTGCACAAATTGCAATTTTTCTATATAATGCTAATTTTTACACTAACATGCTATACACTACAAAATAGGCATTTTTGTCCTTTATCATTATGTGATAAGGGTTACTTGATATATTTACATTCAAAAAAGTTATTAATCAAAATGTACCTATTTTACATAACAAAAGTGCACATTAAATCTTTAATTTTACTATATTTCTTAAATGCGTTTATTTACATAAATTATCTATTTACTTATTTCAATCTATATATCATATGCTAACTAAATATCGTATTTACAATTCTTTCAGAACATAAAAATATTCTCATTAATTTTTTGCTTAAACTATTACGCAGTTAATTTAAATTTCCAGAAAGTTCTATAGCGCGGCGCGCTGTGATTGGTCGATATTTTCTTAAACAAAATAAAGTTGTTTATATTAACTATTGTCAAATCGACCTTTATACAAACATATTACGAGTTGTAAACATACTGTAAACTATATTAAAACACAATTTGTTCGATTTTTTTTGCTAATTTCACTTTTTTAAAACACTTTAATATTCTTTAATCACTTTCTCGTTCAAAGTCATTTTTGCCGTTGTGAACAGTCATTTTGGCCGTCTCGAACAGTTTGTAATTAAGGAGATAAGTATTCTTTTCGCCTCAATGCTTGTGGATTGTAGAAAGAACGTACGCAATTTATAGCGCGGATCTAGTGTTGTTGATAAAATAAAGGTTTCCTCACTCTCTAGATAATCAAATCTGTCATTTATTCCAGCTAACAAAATCTCTACAAAATTATAATATTCTGGGCTGCTGTAACTGTCGTCCGCGGTCTCTTGATTATTTTTGATCTGTTTTAAAATTTTTCGCATACTGTTAATAAGAGGTATAGCGTCAGATAAGCAAGCAGATTCTTCACTTATAGATTTTGTAGCTTCTTTAAAATAATTCAAAGTCGAAACAACTTGTTCCATCAATAGCCATTCTTCTGTAGACAATTCAGTTCTACATTTCACATGATGCAAAGAAGCTTGAATTGCAACTCGTTGCTCTAAAAGTCTTCTAAGTGCATGAAGGGTTGAATCCCAGCGAGTAACGACATCCTGAATGAGAACGTGACAAGGAACGTTATGAGATTTTTGCATTTCTGTTAGGATTTTGCGACCTGACGTTGAATGACCGAAGTGGCCAATAATAGATCTCGCCTTTGTAATCATGGCATTTATTTTCTCTTCAAAAAACGCATCCTTCAGCACTAATTGTAAAGAGTGCGCCATACATCTGATACGTTGAACTCCCACTAGTGTTATAGCAAGCCCCATATTCGGTGCATTATCTGTCACTACAGCACGTACCCGTTCGCTGATGTGCCAATCTTGAAATAATTGACGTAAGTTTTGAGCTATGTTTTCAGTGCTATGATTTTCGCCTTCAAAAGGAAATACTTCTAGGCAGTAGTTCTTCAACTCAAAATTTTTATCAAGTCCGTGAGCAGTCACACTTATAAAGTCGTTAACGGACGAAGAAGCATCGCTTGTCCATAAGTCAGTCGTGATAGTGATGTGCGGAAGTTCATGCAAAAGTTCCATTATTTTGGTTCTTACACGGCAGTACATGTCTGGTATTACATTTTCCGAAATATGGGGACGGGAAACCATTTTGTATTTCGGGCAAAACTGCTTAATAGTGCGTTGAAACCCCAGTTTATTTACTAAGTCAAACGGCTCCATGTCTACACACATTTGTTCAGCTATTGTTTGCGTGATCGCTTTTGCCCTAGGGTCATCGGTATCATACATGACACTTTTTTCCAAAATGTGCTCCAAAGTAGCTTGTTTTTTAGGCGGCGGGCCACCGTCGGCGCTTGAGGTACCTGGGGTGTCTTTTTCCAACTCCTTTTCGTGATAGCGCTTCACGTGTGTCCACATGTTAGATGTCGTGAAGCCCTTCGATGAAACTGCTTTGCTACCACGAGAAACGCTGACATTGCAATATAAACAAGTCGCTTTTGTGTCATCATCCCGTTTTATTTGAAAATGATTCCAGATGCTACTTCTATGTTTTAAAGGAGTCGCCATTTTATTTATCGTACGTAACTGTATTACAGTCCTCACTTCACTCAAAAACAGACAAAATCATGAATAGCGGCGACGAGACGTAAATTCGCCGAAAAACATTACAACGCTGGGCCAAAACTAAGCAAACACTGACGAGTGACGACCGTTAACCGCATTGCCGTTTCGCTGGCGGGCGCATCCTTCGCCCCTCCCGCCCTCTGAGACGGAGTGGCAACGTGGTCGCGCGCGAGCGCGTCGTTCTTTTCGCGCGCTTTTCAAACTGTTTATCGGCTGTATTTAAATCGGCGATGCCGATATATCGGCCTGCCGATTATATCGGCCGATATATCGGTATCGGTATCGGTATCGTTACATCGCTATTAGTTACCTTCGCAGGTTACCGCGACGTTAGAGATTTCCTGTTGTATCGGTAAAGGCGTTTTACATACCGAATTTGCACATAGTCAAATGTCCAGACACGGAACAATAATTATTTTAATTATTTAATCATAAAAATATTTGTTCCGTGCGAGATTGGAACACGCAGCCACTGCGCTATTAAGCCATTTGAAAGTCAAATTTACTTTTACTTTCAAAAGTAAAAAAGTAATTAAAAAGTTGGCTGCATTACTTTTGAAGATATGGACATAATTAATTGATTGTTCATAGCACATCTTAATATTTTCATTTGCATTCGTTGTGGAGATTCTTCTTGGTCTTCATCAGCTCCTAAAAGTCCACTTCTCCCGTTATATGGCCCAATTTGCCTTAACCGTCATATTTGGCAGACGTATCGCAGTACCAGACGTCTCGTACTTTTGATGCTGCTGGAGGATTATTATACATAGAAATAAACAGAAAAGCGGTTGACCATGTAGGCCACCCCTTGAACTTCCACCTTATTTTCGAGCGCAACGCTCGAAAATCTATTTTTTTTGAAAATTTTGAAACGGCTCCACCGGTTGACATGAAAATCTAATTAGCTTAAAGAGTCAATGAACACTTTCGAACGCCATCTCGAGCGGTTGATTGTTCTAAAGATATCGTACGACAAAATATTATTTACGTACATACACCCACACACTGCCGGACGTCCAGCCGGGATTAGTCGGAACGGCTTCCTAGGACCTGGAAATGTGACCAAAATCTATAACTTCCTATTTTTGAAAATTATTAATTTTCAAAGCCGGAAGTTAAAATATCTTTTTTTTAAGTTTTTATTCTTTTTAATTTTCCTGTTTGCGATGAATGCAAATAGGCGATGAGTATGAGTACTCACAAATTACCGAACATAGCAAACTCTCTAAGCCTTCCTTTCGTACTCTGCGCACCGAATTGCAGAAATCGTACCTGTTCAGAATTCTAGAAGTATAAATTTATAAATATTTTTTAAATTGTTGCAGGTAGCTCACAACAATTAAAATGGCAACTAAATCATATACGAAGCACAAGGAGTACAAGGAGTTTTCAAGCAGAGGCACTGTGCCTTACAACGACGAACAATTCGGTAATCAATTTTATTTTATACTCTCTGTCCCTTTCTCAAAAGCCAAAAGGCTTGTATAATATCATGAATAGAGTCAGGCGTTACTTTGCGGAAATCCATTATATTAAAGTTGGTAAAAATTACCAAAAAAATAAAATCATATGTCTTACCTAGTTTGAAGAGCAAGTATTGTCGTCAGGGTGTGTCTTTCCTAGTGTAGTGGTGTTGGGAGTAGCGGTGCTGGGATTAGTGTTGACGGGGATAGTGCACGCAATTGAGGGAGGGCGGGAGGTGCTCTTCAAACTAGGTAAGACACATCATTTTATTTTATAACGCGGATATGTACGCGAGGTAATTTTTACCAAATTTAATTTTGTATAATATCATCATCATCCCAAGCTATCACAAGTTCACGGGGTAACATACGCCTCTAAGGAATGCCCCACAAAACACGGTCCTGAGCCACCTGCATTCAAAACTTCCTGTATCACTTGCCAGGTCCTTTATATCTATACATATAAGTAAATAAAATTGAAGTGTCTGTCTGTTAGAGTATTTATAAGCATAGCTTTTTTTCTTTTATCTTTTCTTAAAAAAATTATTTGCAGGCCATACAAATACTCCTTGCTCCGTGCGGGATTCGAACCCGCGACCCCCAGCGCAACAAGCCATTGTTAAACCACTGCGCCACGGCGCCATCAAAGCTTACTTATTTAAACACTAAGGTCTGTCTGTAACATCTAAATAACTGTCTTCTATTAAGCTGGGTTATTTACATGCTATTTCAAGACAAGAATAACAATTTTTTAAAAAATTATCCATCTGTATGTCCGTGCTAATTTCAGTATGGCTGAATCGATTGTGATAAAACTTCACAAAGAGATACATCAAGATCAATATCAATGATATATTTTATTCGAAAAGCTAGGCAATCTTTTTGTAAAATCGAATAATTTACAAAATAAATCACATTAAAGGACACCACCAGGCGATGGCGGGTGGGTCGCTAATTTTATGATATAATAGTCTAATATTAATAATTTTACTAGCTAACAACACTTGATTATTTATAAAAATGTTAAAAAACCTGTAGTTGTCCAAAGACGTGAAGTATCAAGAACAGAAAGACCGCCTAAACTTTAAACTTTTATGAACGTGTGAGCCCGTAACTTATTATTACACAATTATGATCGTATTTTAATTAGATTACTGGACGCGATGTTTTTTTTTTTAATTTCTAAGTAATTTAAAGTGACTTTGAGCAATATAATATAGTACAGGTAGGCGAAGAGTAGGGCGTCCTCCCACTAGATGCAGTGACGACCTGGTAAGGCATGAAAGAAGTCGACGAATGCAGGTGGCTGAGGAGCGTGCTTTGTGGCATTTTTTGAGGGAGGCCTGTGTTCACTAGTGGACTTGTTCAGGGTTGTAATGAATGAATAGAGCAACAAATCTAAAGGCCGTGATCGACGGACGAGCCATAGTTGTTTATAATAATATGTTGTAAATTAATTGTATTTAAAAAAAATCCCTCTGGGTTTTTGCTGATTCTTCCCAGGACAGTGGTTTTTTCCGAACCAGTGGTAATAGTAATATCTAATTATAACTTATAACAAAAATATTTGTTTCCTAAACTTACAAGTAAAATTTTTTCCAAATTTATATGGGACCACCCTTGAATTGTCACCTATTTAATCAAAAAATAATCATCAAAATTAGTTCACAATCTGCGAAGATATCGCGTAACATACATACAGAAAACATTCACTCGAATAAAAAATTACATATAATTTAATTGAACTGATACTATTCTATTATATAAGCTGACTGTTACAGACTACCAAAGTTCACCGCTGAACATACACCTTCTGAGAAGGTCCTTCTCATAGATTGCTTCATAAGAGAGATATTTGCCACACTTGCAACGTTTGGCAAGGATAGGTCGCAGACGCAGGTTTTTATTTTTTTAACTATTATTGCTGTGCTGCCGCCCATCTTCCTGGTTTGTTTTCTTCTATCGCCTCTTAAGACACCCACAGAAGGATATGAGAAAGCAAATATTTTTACAAATCCACTACACGGTCAAAATACTGAGAAATGTACACAATAAAAGATACGTTTTATTACAGACATGATAAAATCCGAGCTGATACCGAAAGGCAGCAAGCTGGACTCGCTTGGCCGAAATGCAGTCGGAGCTAGAGAGTACCACTACGAGTACAAGGAGGAGAAGCTGCCCGGAGGGAAGTACGACCGCAAGGACTTCCACGCGGTTGAAGTGAGATTTCTTATCATTTATTGTGGCATTAACTACAAGGCCTCGCTTCTGGCTTGTCGCAACCTTCGAACCTGCACTGGAATGTTGTTTTCTTTGGGATCGTGAAATTGAAATTAGAACGCTTATATTTTTGGGCGTAAGAAATATAAAACGGTAACATGGTTTTTTTTCTACTACCATTTAAGCACGCGGTATCTCTGTCCAGAGAAAAACTGCGAAAGAAACTACGGAGTATACATAGGTATTTGTATTTTTTGGTACAATATTTTTAATCGAGGAATAAATAAAAGGAATAGATCCATAAGATATTAAAGTATGTTCTAAAAGACCCATAAATAGCCAAAAATAAAAATTACACAACAAAAAAATTTAAGCTCATAAACGTGTTGCAAAACCTGAGCAGACCGGTCCCCGTAAGCGGCACCGTAATAATAGACCTATGTTTCGTCTTCTGGTACGATGTATTAAACAACGTTATGTTCGCCCAAGATTGATCTTTAGCATCTCTCCAATCGCCACAGGCTCGTTTTGGTCTGATGTGATTCGTCGAAATTCAGCGGAAACTAAACTTCGCGTTTTTAAATATTCGTGCAAAATATTTTGAAGCATACTTACCGAATCCAAATTTTCCACGAATTTTGTCGTTGGTGAATTTCTTCAATCGTCTAAAACATGTTGCAACTATATTGTGGTTGTAGCACGAATAAGTCGGCTCGACCGGGGTAGGACCACGCTCTCACAGAATACCAGCAACTTAAGCTTAGCAGCTTAATGCTGCTGTGTTTTGTATGGTGAGTGTAGAGAACCGTCACATTCATCTCAGTCCTCAAGGGTTAGAGTTGAGGATAAATGTAGATGTCTATGGGCCACCAGCATCCACTTACCATCATGTAGACTGTATGCTCGTTTGTCAATCTTACTCTATAAAAAAAAATAGCCAATTTTTACAGTAACCACAGTTGACGGAAAATCGTAATGACTCGTCATACAAAGAAACGATATGAGTGAATCCAGTTTACCAACACCTTTTTACTAGATGTTAGGACTCCTTTTTTGCCTAGGCCTCCGTCTGGGTAGATACAACCCTCTTACCTATTTCTGCTGTCAAATAGCTGAGCGTACACTGACGTGTTCCGATCTGAACGGTACAGAGAGCCATTATGCTGAGAGGCATTCCATCTAAGGCCCGTATTAATAAACGTTACTCAGCTCAAGTACACGCACTTGAGTACAATCTTGAGGTTATGATCTTAATAATAAACATATCTCAAGATGCGGTTTAGGTTTACGATATCAGCTGAGTGCCACACTGATTAATAAACGAAATACGACTCTCAAGTGTGTGTACTTGAGTGCAAGTCACAGAACAATATCCTTTATTCAGTTATTTACAGTATTCCTTGATACAGTATTCCAAGGAATACCACAAAGCACTGTCCTGAGTCACTTGCACCCATCGACTTTCTAGTTCTACATTTCTTACCAGATCATCACTCCATCTTCTGTGGGTCCATTAGCTTCATGGTCCACCCTACCGATATGATATGATATCGTAATGAGGGCGTATCAAATGATTACGCACTTGAGTTTGTCGTTGAGTAACGTTTATTAATACGGGCCTTAGTCCTCACTCCTCATGGGTGGCACCTGTTTGAGGCTGTCTTTGTTTGAATTTTGCTGCAGGTATCCAGTCCATGGGCTGCAGTTAGCCACAGGTGGAGTGTAAAGTTAGTTTATTGCCTAAATATTATGAAAAAGAAAAAAACACCTGAAAGTGCTTAAATGTGGTCTATTCAACTTTTGCGGAGAAAGTGAACTTTTGAAATCGTGAAATTTTCGATTTAAAATCTTTTCGCGTTAAATCGTTATTTCTACATTTCCAGGAGTACACAATCCCACCAAAGACAACACCCAAATTGAGTGAGAGCAATTCTTATTACTATGAGAAAGAAGAGAGGGAGCTGCCGGCCATCACCTCCGGGACACGTACCTACAACTACGAGACCACTGGCACTTCCCCAGGTAATGATCTTTGATTTTTAGAATAAGCACTACTGGCGATTAGGTCGTGTAAATAGTGAAGGCCAAAGTTAAATATGTGATTTCCATTGAGTTATATGTACTACGTAGTAGAGAAGTTATTCCAAACAGAAATTGTGCGCTACACTATGTCTTCGCCCATGCGCGGGATATAGTAGAGTCGCGTATGTGCGAAGACTTTAATATAAGATATTAATATAAAATAAATATAAGAATTTAATATAAAATACCACAGAATAAATAATACTGGGGCAGCTCGCGATTGTAGGGAATTATTTCACAGAGTGACAGAGGCCTGAAAATACTCTTATTTTAATCTAAACAAACATACTCGTATTTCTAAATAAAATGTAATAATAATGATTTATGGAATTCACAAATCTTCAATTTACGCAATATTTAGTTTAGTGTACGGATTGCAGTACAGTTCAGTTGGACATAGTCAATGTTCGCAATGCGAAATCTAGTGCGTAGTACATATATATCGATGGTGATTTCCAATCTTGACATTAAAAACAACATTGCAGCCTTACATAACATAGACATCCCCCATAGATTGCGTCATAGTCACATTTGCCACAGTCGCAACGCTTGAAAGACGGGATGTCAACCACAATTTTTTTTTTATTATTATTATTGAGTTGTTATCAGTAACATGGTGCTGCTTCTTGTTTCAGTTTCCCTCTGTCGCCTCTTACGACACGCACGGGATGATATGGGGTAGTGTAAAAAAAGTTACAAATATATATTTTTCAGTTAGTTTAATATGACGTGAGTCAGCTTAGCTAAGTCAACAGGCTTAGTAATGCAGGCAAAGTTGTTTTGTTTTATAAATATATAGGTGTAAATTCGTTGGTATTTAATAGGTAAAGTAAAGTAGAGTTGCAGCCTATATACGTCCCACTGCTGGGCACAGGCCTCCTCTCATTTGTGAGAGGGTTTTAGGGCAAGGAAATGTCCGCCGCGCTGCCCCAACACGTGTTGGCGAACTTCACATGTCCGCCGCCGAGCACGTGGAAATTCAGCACTTAAAATTGCAATTAACAATTTCATTGGTGCCGGCGGGGATTGAACCCGGGTTGCTGGCGTACTGTGAAACTTACAGCGAGCGCTAACCATCTGAGCTACCTAGGCTAACTATATACTTTAATAGGTATAGTGATAAATATATTTTTATAGGATACTCCAAGGTGAGCTCAAGAGCAAAGAAGGAAATGTCACATAACGTGGAAGAACTGGATTCCCTTCTGGATGATCTGCAAAAGGACCAAGAGCGACAGCTGTATAAAAGTAAGTCTTAGTTAAAGCATCAGCATAGTAACAGCTGTTAAGTCCCACTGCTGGATACAGGTCCTTTCCCATTTCTGAAATGGAGATATCCGTGGTAGCTATGGGGATAAAAGCCTATTAATAATATAATACGAATAATTCCTGCAAGTCCTAAAGGGCAGAGCCGCGGTCAAATTGCTCCCAAAAACCTCAACAAAAACCCATCAACTATAAAAGAGAAAAACAAACTCTGATGTTAAAAAAATAAGGTTCAAATTTCTTACACGTTTTAAAAAGATTAATACCAAAGATCTCCACTATGGTTTCTGACCGCTGCGCTGTCCGTATAAGGAAGCACTAGGTCCCTTAGAGAGCTATGAGAGGTTTATCCTCCGAGTTTTTCTGCGTGATAAAATTTGAAACATCAGAGTAACCGACACAGCCCAAAGGATCTGTAAGCAGAAGTGGCAATAGGCAGGCCATATAACTCGAAGAAACAACAACCGATGGGGAAGAAAGTTTATGGTGCAAGTGGCAGCCTCGTGCTGGTAAGTGAAATGTAGGGCGGGCCCACACAAGATGTAGTGATGATCTGGTAAAAGATGTAGAAGGTCGATGGGTGCAAGTGACTCAGGACAGTGCTTTGTGGCATTCCTTGGGGGAGGCATATGTTAGTGTCAGAAACTTGTGCTTGGGGTACAGAATACAACAGTGCACACCATGAAGCAAACACATGTATAAAATAATAATGTATTTGCTTCATGGTGAAATCTAATTACAACACCACTTTGTATTTGCTTCATGGTGCACACACTGTTACTCGGTGGTAAAGGAGACAGTTTCTTTTCGTATGGATAATGGGCCCACCACAAATTTTAGTTACCCTTAATGAAATGCATGTCGATTTATTTCTTATAATGTAATAATTTTTACGTGGTAGAACCATGCTGCAGCTATATTAGTAGTATAGTTGTAGCACGAATGGGTCGGCTCAACCGGGGAAGGCACATGCTCTCACAAAATACAGCTACTATTTTATAGCAGCGTAAAACTGCTGTGTTTCGTATGGTGAGTGTAGAGAACCGGAGACCCTTTTTACTGGAAATAAGGCATTCCATCTTAGTGCTCACGGGTGACAACGCATCTGCATTTTGATTTGTAATCGAGGATAGATGTAGTTGTCTATGGGCCGCAGCAATCACTTACCATCAGGTGGACTGTGTGCTCGTTTGTCACCCTATCCTATAACAAAAGGGTAAGAGAAAGATCCGACAAATTCATGGGCAGAAACGGATATCCAATCCTACCACCTAGTCTTAGTATACCCGTAGCAGCCGTATTTCAAAATAACCGTTTATTTTTAAAATTATATCGAGTATGAAACTACTTTCAGGCGGCTACGCTTCGGATACAGCTGAGAGCACGTCCTTTGATTACAGAAAAGGGTAAGACAGTTTTATTTTATTCTCAGGCATTGATGTGACATAACTCGTTTCTATGTGTGACGTGAGCTATTTCCATACATATTATGGCATGACTTGACATAAATTTGACTCTGTGACGTCACCTTTTTTTACATACGCAGGATATGATTTGAATGTATATTGTTTTCATATGTATGATATAATTAGTTTCTATCCAATTGACACGAATTGTTTTAAATTTTTATGCATTTAATGTGACTTTTTTCCATACTTGGGATCTGTGATGTGAACACTAATGTCTTAACACACTTTGACTTCAGATTATTCTCTTATATGACATAAATTATATTTATAAACTAGCTGTTCCCTGCGAATTCACCCGCGTGTTATTTGGGGTTTTAATTTTTTTGCGCGGAACCCTAATTCTTTTTCTAAAATAAAAGTAGTCTAAATTACTTCTTGTTTCATCACCTATCTGCCAGTGAAAATCCCGTCAAAATCGATCTAGACGTTTCGGAGATTAGCCGAAACAAACAGACCGACAGACGGACAGACAGACAGACAAACAAAAACTTTAAAATTGTATTTTTGTTATATTAGTACCGTATATACCTAGTCAGGTCATAAATTCTGTCACATGTTTAATATAAAATAATTGAAACAAGTTTATTCATTATGTAACCATTTATATACCAAAATGAACTTCAACAAAACATAGATTCTTATGACACTAAAGTTTATTCAAAATGACCTCCGTGATTTTGAATACATGCCTTCAATCTGCACGGCCAGTCGTCTATCGCAGCACAACGAGGTCCATGTCAATATCGGCGGCTGCCTTAATCAAGGATGTCTTGAGTGACTCCAAATTGGGATGAGGCTTTGAGCACGCCTTTTCCTCCAAGTGTTGCCATATCTTGTAATCTAACGGATTCAAATCTGGACTGGAGGAGGGCCAGTCTTCGTGCCGGATGAAGTCGATTTCACGCGCCGCCAGCCAGTCTTGTGTGCTCTTCGCTCTATGAGCTGGCGCCGAATCTTGTTGGAATACCCAGTGCCTGTTATTGAACATGGTATGAGAAACAGGTTCCACAAAGTTCATCAGGACTGTATTTTGATACACAACTGCATTCGTTTTTACACCTTTCTCACAAAAATGTACCTCTGTTAAGCCCCAATAAGAAACTCCCAACCATACCATGAGCGAGGATGGAAAATGACCTCGTGGGATACGCGGAATACGGTTGCTCGCTTCTTCACTACTGTGTGCGTACACCTTATCATTTTGTTTGTTGTAGCTCTCTTCTACGGAAAAAATTTTTTCATCTGAAAAAAGAATTTCCCGATATTTTTTTCCCGCGTACAGCTTCAACAAAGCGCGGCATCTCTTCAGTCTCAGGTCCATTAAACGAGCATTCAAACGATGTCCTGTTTTTCTTCGATATGCCCGAAGCCCTAAGTCTTTATTTAACACCCTTTTCACCGTGGTTCTGCTTAACCCCATCTGAAGGGCCAACAGTTTCTGCTTACGTTTGGGATTTCTTTGAATTCGCGCCTTCACAGCTTTTATCACTGTTAGAGTCCTGTCGGACGGACCTGTCATCTACACTAGAGTCTTCATTGTATCGTTTGATGGTACGATAAACGAATCTTTTGGTTATATTCAAATTTTTCAGTATGTCAAAAATTTGAATTGGCGCGTAACCGCAATGATGCAACGCAATAACTGTAACACGATCTTCTTTAAGCGTCCACTCCCTATTTAAATATGAGTAAAATTCTAAAAAGTATACAGTTTTATTTTCATGAACAATTCGAAATTCGAATTCAATAAACTTTTTTGTGGCCAGCATTCTAAAAGAAAAGTTTTTACTGTGTGACAATACTTATGACCTGACTAGGTACTTTCACATGCATTTAGTAACAAGCTGTAATTTTGATATTACTAACAGACACTTCAATTTTATTTATTTGTATAGATTTTGTGATATCAGTTACATTGTTGTTTCAGGACGCCAGTAAAAGCAGCGCCATCTAGCGGATACTCAACTTTAAAACACGAGGAGAGACTGGAGAGTTCTTCCTGGGGTTCCAGTCCTCCACCCACCATCACACGTGCCGCTGAAGTGAGGCAGCAGGTGTATAGAGAAGAAAAGACCGGTGAGTTATTGCTATTTGCAATCTATTATATACTTTCTACGTAGAAAAATATTTTAGCGCATATTATAATTATAAAAGTTACATTCTTACGAAGTATATTTTTAACTTATTGTTTTATATTGTAAATATAAATTAGATTTAAATTTTAATGATGAAAATTGTTAAAAATATATAAGTTAGTTTTTTTCGGTAGCGTTAGAAAAAAATTTTCTCGTTTTTGAACCTCTTCAAAGTGCGTGTTAATGGGCTTCTCCTGGGAAAACTCGTTACATCGTAGATCTTATCTTTGCCCACGGGCCATATGGACGTCAAGAGTGAGCCTAGTTTAATAATAATAATAATAATTTAAAAAAACCCGAGCACCAAGATGAAATGCCTCGTATTCAGTAAAAAGGGTCTCCGGTTCTAATATACATCTTCATCTACCCTGACTATACGAAACACACCAGCATTATTCTATGGCTATGGTGATGGGTCAGGTGGCTTGTTACTTCAATTTTATAAAAAAGGAGAATAATGTGATTAGTGTTATTGTTACAGAGTCCCGCGTGGTGCCGACTCCGGTGGCGCCGCCGCAGCCGCTGTGCACGCACTGTCACCAGCTTCCCCTCAATGGCACGGTGAGTGTGAGTGTAGCCCCCAGGGTTCCGTTATGAAGCAAAATGCTGGTATCCGGTGCGTTGCTGCCGCAGAAGAAATAATTTATTTATTTATTTACAAATTGCGTTACATGTGACTTAGAGACTAAACAAAACATGCAAGTTCTAACAATCACATGCACCTCGAAAGGCATAGCAATGAACAGGAGAGGGGCAGACTCTTAAAAATTCTTTTCCTTAATGTATTCATTAATTGAATAGTAACTTTTTTTAATAAGTATATCTTTTAAAAAGCTTATGAATTCATTAATATTTGTTTCGGCTTTTAGGTATTCTGGCAATTTATTATAAATTTTTATTGACATAGGGTAAGGACCTGAACTGTGTAATTTTAATTTAGATTTTGTTTGCAAAAGGTTATTCTTATAGCGAGGTATGTTGAGGTAATTGTAGATACCTATATCCTTCTTATTTTTGTACATTTAGGAATGCCGTAGTTTGGTTTGTTCATTTCTAATGTAATCAATATAAAATATAACTAATATTTCAGAAAGAAATATAAACTCTTACATTTTTCTAACAAATTCACTTCGTCCGCTACCCTATAAAGTATACTTATTGTCTATGTCGTCCGCCATGAAATCTGTCAAGTATTTCATTCACCAGGAATGAGTTGAAATATGAGCTACTAAACGTAGTGATTATATTTTCTTTGGCCGCTACTAGTTAAATATTGATTTCTCTCCCACTGCTGCTAGCTAACGCTAGTTACACTTCCATGTATTCCAATCAGTACTAGATGTCGCTAGTAGCCTCTATGTATATTTAAACTGTGGGTATAACAGACCCCCCACCCCAGCCTGCAAAATAATGATATTTGTAATAAAAAAAATACTAATCGACGTATTTTTAATAGCACATTACGATTATACTTGTATTTGTAATTGCACACTCTCCAATTTTTTATAAAAAATCAAAATAACGCAGTTGTCGCGAGCCAGCACGCCCATGAACAAGGTGACGACGACGGTGAAGACGTACACGTACGAGGTGCCCGCCGACCAGGACCCGGCCAGCGTGCCGCTGCCGCCGCTCGCCGACCACCACCACACCTACGTCTCCAACGACACCAACCTCACCAACGTCACCAACGTGCGCACGTGAGTACTTAATGTAGAGTGACCACGCGACCAGATTTCACAGGGCATGTCTTATTTATTGCCTTTTTATTTGTCTCTAAGGTGCGAGACGAGTGGTTCTGCGTTCACTAACCGCTTGCCAAGCGAAACGATTAAGGTGAAAGCGCCAGGGTAACCCGCGAAATTCAAATTTTCTTAGGTTTTTTGCAATTTTTAGGTCAGTGTCAGGTTGTATGTTTAACAAAATATGATTCGTGACCGTAACGAGTATGTATTTACAGAATTATAATCATTATAGTTATCAATACAACTCTCTAAGTAAACTTACTAATCCGTAGAATTAAAAAAAAGTATATGGCAAAGAAAGTGTACCTAAAAGGAAGATGGTTGCATTTGTTCGGTGTTTCACGATTTCTATAACAAAATAATAAACAGCGCCCTCTATAAACAAAAATTGAAACCCAAAAGATGTTTAAGGGAAGCATTAAGTTGAATAAGTCCCTATTTGTTTATTATCAATATTTCTACATACGTCATGCTACTAGGCATAGTAGGACTCCTCACATTAACGAAAGTATTTATTAGCAAGTAAGGGTCATGTTTTCGTCAAGCGCAATTACCACGTGATCAGTATTAAAAGTAAGGTTACTGGATTTACTTATGTACTTTAAAATTTAAAGTGAACATCCATCGAATCATTACTCAAACAAAATTTAAATGCCTGTAAAAAAGAATTTGCATTTCATAGAATATTTCAAAACTATTAACTATTAATATTAAGAAAACGGCAAATCTATGGGGGATTTCTGTTAAAGTTATTGCGTCTATAATAGATGCGATCGCAACCCAACTTGCTATTATTTTCAATGCTAGTATCGAATCTGGTGTTTCCTGATTTAATGAAAGATAGGAAAGTTATACCTTTATTTAAATCTGGCAGTGTATTGGACTCCACTAATTTTAGAGCTATTTCTGTACTGCAAACGCTCAGTAACATTTTTGGAAAAAAATTCTAGATCAAATATTAAGTTTTTTTTTTAACGTAAATAAATTACTCCATAACAATCACTTTGGATTTACCAGGGGTCGCTCGACAACTGATGACGGTGTTGAGCTAATCAAACATATTTTTTGTGAATGGAAAAATTCAGAAGATGCTTTGGGTATTTTTTTTTGATCTTTCCAAGGCTTTCGACTGTGTTCACCATAACAAATTAATCAGGAAGCTACATCATTATGGTGTAAATTACATAGCGCTTAAATTTATTATGTCATATCTAAGTAATAGAACGCAAACAGTTGTTATTAGTGGATGCAGTTCTTCCGGATCGGTAGTATCTATGGGTGTTCCTCAGGGCTCAGTTCTTGGTCCCTTTTTGTTTTTAGTTTATATTAATGTCTTACCTTACTTGGTAGGGTATAACCATGATATAGTATTATTTGCTGATGATACTACGTTGATATTCCGACTAAAAAGGCAATTATTGAAATATGACGAAGTGAATAATGCTATATCAAAAATAGTACACTGGTTTAACCTCAATAATTTACTTTTGAAAGGTAATAAAACGAAATGTATTAAATTCACTACACATAACGTTAAAAAGGTGAATCCCAATGTGCTTTTAAAAGGGGAGGAGCTGGGCCTTGTTGATTCCACTGTTTTTCTTGGTATTACAGTTGACGCGAAGCTTCAAACCAGCCCTCATATATCTAAACTAGTTAGCAAACTTAGTTATGCAGCATATGCTGTAAAAAAGATTAGATGCCTTACATGTGTTGAAACAGCTAGATTAGTTTATTTTAGTTATTTCCATAGTATAATGTCATATAGAATCTTGCTATGGGGTAATGCGACTGACATTGAAACTATCTTTGTTTTGCAAACGAGAGCCGTAAGAGCCTATATTATTATAACCTAGATCCGAAGGAATCCCTCAGAGAAAATTTTAAAGAAATAAATATATCAACTGTAGCCTCTCAATGTATTTAATAGTTTTATTAAAAATAGTGATGTACATTCTATAAATACTAGGAACAAGCACAAGTTAGTTATACTCGTACCAGTTACTCGACTCCAAAGAGGCAATAATTCCTTCATGTGGAATTTTATACGCTTTTACAACAAAGTTCCAAAAAATATGCAGACCTTTTCCATCAAAAGGTTTAAATTATTCAATAAGCAAAAATTGTCTAGTAAGGGTTATTATACTACTAAAGACTACATGACTGATAATAACCTCTGGGAATGAGGTGATCGCTCTCGTACCATGCTGTTCCTAAACGTTTTCATAACAATTGTATAAAATATTATATTGTAAATTGTGTTTTAAAAAAAAACTCGCTGGGTTTCAAAATTAAAAAATGACTTTCAATAAATATTATGTATTGTAATCCATATTGAATAAAAATTATTCTATTCTATTCATCCCGAGGACTACGTTTCACACAAGGATTATTAATACGTAATTTTTCCTTCAGAGCAACTTTAACACGACCAACGGAGGGTTCCCCCGCCCCACCGGGATGCCAGTACTGCACACACTGCAACTCTAGGCTGCGGGAGTACAGCCGCACACACCTCACCACCGATGGTAAATTTTTTTCTTAAAAATGTTATCTCCATACCAGAATTTTTTCCTGTATTGTGGGAGTTGACATACATAAATTTCACAAGAACTAACACCCAGGCTCGGAACAATTCGTCGCTAACGCCGCAAAGGGGCGAACCTAAATTTTTCAAATAATTACACGAGAGCAAGAAAACATTTATTATCCTCCGATGACTAACTTTTTTCATTAGAAAATTAATCTTATTTGTAGTTTTCCATTAAGTCTAATTATGTATATATATATTTAATTTTCTGATGAAAAAATCGGGAAATAATAATTAATGTTCTCTTGCTCTCCTGTAATTTTTTGAAAAATTGAGGTACGCCCCTTTGCGGCGTCAACAACGAATTATTCGTCGGCCATACAAATACTTGTGTCGTGCAGGATTCGAACCCGCTGCCCTTACTGCTACAACACCTTTTTTTATATAGAATTAGGGTGACAAACGAGCACACTGTACACCTGATGGTAAGTAGTTGCTGTGGCCCATAGACATCTACATCTATCCTCGATTACGAATCAAAATGCAGATGCGTTGTCACCCGTGAGGACTAAGATGGAATGCCTCGTTTGCCAGTAAAAAGGGTCTCCGGTTCTCTACACTCACCACACGAAACACAGCAGTGTTAAACTGCTATTTTACGCTGGTATTCTGTGAGAGTGTGGTCCTTTCCCGGTCGAGTCGACCCATGCGTGCTACAACTATACTATTAATATAGCTGCAGTAAAAAATTTAAAATTGCTAAGCCACTACACCATAGAGCCGTCAAAATTCACTATAGTACTTTTTATTTAGAAGTTCGACGTTAGAGTTCCACGTGTATAGCCTACACAGCTACCTAACAGCATATAGGTAGTGGTACCGTAACATAAAACTGGCCTACGTTAAATAGCAGCGTAATACTGCCGTGTTTTAAGACATAGTGTATAAAAGAAAAAGTTAATTTTAACAGATACTTTTGTATATTTTTAGTCATGATTTAACCACATTTTGTAATCAATCGCAAACTATTAAATTTATTTATTTAAAATTATCAAATGTAATATATTTTACTGTATTTAAATTGCAGAGCACACTACAACAAACGAGCGAATGGTTTACCCTAGCCCAGCCAACGAAACGAAACTGTTGCCCGCCGAGCCGCACAATGGACATGGCCCTTATGTGAGCTAAATGTTAATTATTAAAAACTTAGTAGCTTAGCTCTTGTAGTAACTATTTCCTTAATCGCGGAAAGTGGCTCTAAAACCAGAGCCACAATTTTAGTGCTCTTCATAAAAAAAATGATTCTCAGGTTGGATATTAAAAGACTAAAAATGTCATTTTTATTACAATGAGATCTTGATAACATTCTCGAACACTGTGAAAAATCTAAGCCTGTACATACTACATAGACAGTACATTGAAATGGGATACACATTACACATGTCACTGAAATCAGTCTTCGCCACCTTACGGTCTCTCTACCGTCTAAAGAATTTTCTACCTGTCAACACTCATGCTTGTACTTATTGTTGTACACTTATTAATTTCATCCATTATTGATTATGCAGATGTTTGTTACCCAGATTTGGACCAATATCTACTCAACAAGCTAGAGCGTCTCCTTAATAATTGGATTAGATACGTATACGGGCTTTGAAAGTATGGTTATGTTTCTCTGTAATCGCCATAAATGGCTCACAATCAAACATTCTCTTTTCCATATTAAACGACCCAGCGTCACCTTTACATCTCAAGGAAAGATTTCAATTTCCTTTTTCAACTCATGACAGAGTTCCACAGTTCTCGTCTAATCATAAAATTTGTGTTTCAAAGCATTTCTCTGGATTCTCCAGGAAATCCTTCACTGTTCAGGCTACTCTACTCTGGAATTCCTTACCCGAAGACATACGAAAAGCACCAAGTAAATGCTCGTTTAAGAGATTAACTCGTGAACACCTTTCTAAACAAAACATCGTTACATGATAAGAATGATTTCATTTTCATGTGGCGGTGAAAAATAATCAGTCACGCTATTGTGGGCGTCGTAAGAGGCGACCACAGAGTACCTACCTTTGTATAAACCAGAGGTGACTACGGGTTATGAGTACCTAACGCTAGAAAGATCTTACAACGTAAACGTTGTATATAGCTTCCAATAGATGGCGTTATAACTAATTTGTCACGCCAGAAATAAATACTCAGACCGGTTACGGAAAGTAGTTTAAAAAAAATTAAAATGTCTAAAACTCCGTTCTTCAGTCCACCTGCTGGGCTTGGTGATAAAGGCAAATCCCTATAACTGGAGAAGCCCATGTCCAAAAGAGAACTTTCACAGACTGATGATGAGAAAGAATAATATATTTTTAATACATTGCTCAAAAGTAGCATATTGCAGGGACATATAGCATTCGGGATATGGGTTATTACATACTCGTGCTTTTCCTTTACCTTTTCCGAACTCGTGCATTCTCTTTCCCAACTGTCAAAATAATGTCTATTTAAAAAGAAAAAACCAACCACGAAGTTTTTACTAATAAAATTCATTGAAGTTTTTATGATTCATTCAAATATTTCTAAAAAGAGCTACTAATTTGTTTCAATATCAGATTTAATGATTTGATTCAATGAGTTAGGTTAGGTTTCATTTCATTTCATCTCATTAAATTTCATTTTCGTTTCATATCAATAAAAAAAAATCTACTGAAGACTTGGCTGTATGGGCATAGTTCCCTTTGCCTACCCAGAATGGGCGAAGAAAACAAAAAAATCTCTGCTTATATTCTTTTACGGTTGGCGCCAGTTTCCAAAAATGTTCTTAAATTGCTTAATTTTTTCGCAACTGTATTAAAAATAGTTGTTCAGTACACGTGCGGGACCGTCATTGCAATTTGTTCCGACTGTCAACCCTCACCTTCGGCTGCGCCTCTGCTCGGGTAGACATTTGTCGGAACTCTTTGCAATGGACAGGCTTTCCGCACTCGTAATGAAATATACTACTCTGGCCTTAGTTTGTAATGAGTAAGAACAAAATGATTGGTACCGGCGGATATCGAACCCGGGTTGCTCACGTACATTAAAATTTACAGCGAGCACTTCACCTTTAAACTAGCACGACTCCTAGCCCGCCTCAATCACCGCCGGCACCTATTAAATTGTTAACAGCAATATTAAGTCTGTATCACAACGTATTCGGCGGTGCAGGAAAACATCGTGAGTATTAGAGTAGCATGGCGGAGACTTCCTTGCCTTGATAAATGAGAGGAGGCCTGTGCCCAGCAGTTAACTGTATATAGGCAATGACAATGGAATTGCAAAAAATATTTTGAAGACACGTGAAGTCCGTCAACAAGTATCGAGGCAGGGCGGTGGACACTTCGCCCTCCACTCTCAGAAATGATAGCAGACCTGCGCCTAGCATTGGGACGTGTATAGACTGTTACTTTAAGAGTAACAAACGAGCGCGCAATCCTTCTAATACTTTGAATACTGATCTGTCCGCAGGGTCCAACGACGTACAAATACTCGGAGACGACGTACTCGAACAACCAGGCGGCGGCGCGGCACCGCACGCCGTCGCCCGCGCCCCCCGCTCCCCCCGCGCCCTTCCCGCGCACGCACACCCCCACCCCGCACGAGCAGCAGCCCCCCAAGCGCCTCGACGACCTGCTCGCAGACTTCCCCGAAGCGGTCAGACATCTATAATCAATATCACTATTATTTCGTACATGATAGAGCCAAGCTGCTATTATTTATTCTGTGCTTATGGTTGTAACACGAATGGGTCGGCTCGACCGGGGTCGGGCCAAGCTCCCACATAATACCAGCGTAAAACAGCAGCTGCTGTTTGGTATTGTAAGTGACGAAAGCCAGAGACCCTTTTTACTGGTAATGAGACATTCCATCTTAGATTTAAAAAGTAATTATACTTAATAACAAACAAGCCTTATTTATATTTTAATTCGCGCAACCGTACGTACCTAAGGGCATAATTCTCGGCAAAATGCTCGTTTGACACAAACATATCGACATATTATTTGACGATTGTTTTAAAATGTTTATACGATATGCCTATATACATTCAAATTTAATTTTTCAATGTCGATTTTTAAAATGAAAACTTCTTTAGAATCGTAGTGATTTGAAAAAAAAACAAACATACTACATGAACATACATCTAGAAAAGGGATTCCCAAAGTAGTCGATATCGACTCCTTGGGCTCTAAATCGGTTTCGCAGGGGTCGACATAAACGAAAACTGATTTTATCCGAAAATCGATACCTATTAACTTTATTAATTACTTATTAATTTATAAAATAAATCACTTATAAATATTTATTTATTAGTTTTATTACCTATATTATCAATAGGAAAAAAAACCAGAGATAGGATTTTAAAAGTAATTTGGCTATGGGGGTCTGAGGTGACCCCTTTTCCAAAATGAATTCATTTTGCAAAAGGGGTCTCTTGCCCAAAATAGTATGATTTATAGATGTATGCACGTAAAAATCAATTAACAATACTAATAACAATACGGTTAAAATGATGTTTCTCCTCCAACAGAGATTCACAACGCAGACCGACAGTGGAGTTCGACGACGTATTGAAACTCGCGAGACGCGCGACACTTCCCACTCCAGCCCCATGGCTACCCCCACCCCCACCCCGGCCACACAAGTCAAGCCCACGCCTGTGAGCTCCAGCAAGAACGTGGCCGGGCCTGCTGTCTATTACCCACCCGGTCATACACCATTCGCTAAGAAGGAAGTCGCCGGTTACCAGGCCAGCGTAAGTTTAACATTTGTTTTTTTATTGTATCAAAATTACGTTATTTAATACTTAGGTTGGCTCGACCGGGGCAGAACCACGCTCCCACAGAATACTACTAAATAAGAACTTTATGCTGCTGTGCTAAGTATGGTGAGTTTAGAGAACTGGATGCCTGTTTTACTGGAAACGTAGCATTGCATCTCAGAACTCAGGGTTCAGAGGTGAAGCATCTGCATTTTGTATATAGTATATAGGTCGTAGTATCCACTTACCACCAGGTGGACTGTGTGCTCGTTTGTCACCTTTATACTATAAAAAATCATTCTTGGGTAGGTAGTAACTCTAGAGTGATTGTCTGACTTATAAAATAAGAGTCAGATCACTGTAATAGAGGTAACACACAGATATAATATTAAGGTCTTCCAGACCGAATTTCGGTCACGGGGTCAGTCTCAAAGGAAACGAGCCATTGGCGCAGGACAGGATTATAGTGCACGAGTGTGCGTCCAAGTATTTTTAGGCAGACGGAACCGCAATCAGATATGACTGGAGAGAGATCCGGTGCAGGACCAACGGCTTTACGTGCTTTCCGTGACCCGGTGGTGAAACACCGCTAAAATTCCTGACCCCGAGTTTACTATTAATAATTTCTTAATAGAAAAACCTCTGGGTTCGAATTTAGGGTCAAACCAAGATTAATATATCTTGGTTTGACCCTAAATTCGAACCCAGAGGTTAGGCCACCAGGGCGGTGAAACATAAATATAGAGAATAGTCGTCGGCGCTATAAACCAATGTTTAAAGCATTTAATTCATCGATACATTGCCAAAAAGGGTTTGGAGGCATTCCATCTTAGTCTTCAGAGGTGACAACGCTTGTGTAGCGTTCTATGTTTAAAGTTGACTGCTTCCTGCTACCATAAAATGCAGTAGCCACTTACCATCAAGTATTCTGTAAATTCGTTTATAATTCAGTTTTAGAAATAATATACGTTGTTAGGTTTATTTACTCGAACATACATATGTACATACAAAGAGACATAAATATTATAAACAATTGAATGTAATGCATAATAAACGTACACGTAACAAATGCTCACAAACACATACATAATAATACGTATACCACTCCTAATCCATGCTTAGCGAATTTAAAGGCTAATTGTTTATTTTACAAATGCAGTCGTTACTAAAGAACACACGCCTCTTTCTGTCAAAATCAAGTAAATCAAACAGTGTACCTTAAGAACACAAACATACGTAGTTTTCTACCATTTTTGTTGGCATATAGTTCCCACCAAGTAGTGTCTTAATATTACAATATCTCTAAGATATGATTTTAAACCCCCCGCAGTCGATGCAAGGCGGTGGCGCTTACGCGTCCGGTCGAGCCATGTATGAGTACGAGTCTGGCTCCCGCAGCAAGGAGAAGCACTCCGAGAAGAAGACCGCCGTGCCCATTTGCCTGCCGCTCTGCTGCGCGATGCCTTGCGTCATTTTGTAGACCAGACGTACTCGAAGTGTGCTCCGTGAAGCCCTGAGGCTCGAAAAAAGCAACCCGAAGCACATCAAGTCTTGTCGCAAAAAACAACACGCATAATAAATCTACAAGAAGTAATAATGCTAGCGTAAAACTTCAAACATAATATAACTTATACGAGTAGAAATATTATTTCATTGGCAGAATAGTCAAAAGCTCTGTAAAATACTTAGGTGTTTAAAAAGGGTGTCGTCCTTGTTTCGTCACTAAAAAGGTTTGAGAACCGCTGTTGTAAACACACTGCGCCTTGGCGGTTGGACGTGGCTGTCATTAACCATAATGCTAGGAAATAATCTACTCATTCCCTGTCCTAAAAGAAACAAAATTATTTATTCATATCCTTTAAATTATTTAACTCTCTCACCCTAAAACCTACATTATATTTTGTGTTCATTACCCAATGGATAATAATTTATAGGTTCTCTACATTTTCAATTATAAAAACTACAAAGTTTATAAACCAATGTGATAAATGTCTACAATGAAATCCTTGATGCAGCCACGTCCTGTGTATTTTATACGCATTTGATATTATTAATTTAAAATGAACTTGTAAAGTAATTGTAAAACAAATAATCTTTATAGTAATTAGGAATTATAATAAAAGATACCTATGAACATACACCGACAACTTTATATGGGAAAAAATGTACGCACAGTCGCGCGCATTAATTTATGTACCTGTTCGATTGAGGAAACTCATAAACCTTACTATTTATTCTGTGCTACATTGTCATTGATGTACAAAATATGTATATCAATGTACATTGTAATATGACCATCGATCACTAATAAAAAAAAACTAGATACACAATCCCATGCAAAAGTTCTTTAAAAACTGTCGCCAATGGTTAACGAATTCTAGTTGAAATAAATATACATTAATGTAAATTCAACCTTAAACGCATTGCTTAAAGTTGTATTCACAAAGCTACGTACCAATTAAAAGCGCACCCAAATATTCGAGAGGGCGCTCATTCACAATTCGCGCTCAAGGACATTTTTGTCACTAGTTGTGTATATAGTTTTTTATTAGTGATCGATGAATATGACTAAAAAAATGTTTTGCACGCGACTGTTACAGATTCCAGTGCCAAAACTTATTAAATACACTGTATTTTAAAATGCGCAAATACATGAATTATATTTGATAAGTTAATATTATTTAATCAGATTGGTTGTCATGTAAATTTATAATTTAATTTTTTATGTTTTAATAATTAGGTTACTTTAAAGATGCATGTTATATAAATGCAAAAAATGCATTCATAATATGTCTATGGGCTGCAGCAGCTACTTCTCTTCAAGTAAACTGTTAGTTATTTGTTATTCTAATAGCCTAAAAGAAATCTAGATTATAGCGAATGATAAAGCTGCGCCAACTCACCTGCCAAGCGTGCCAATTATAGCTATTGTTCGAAGGATGACTATTTCCAGCTGTGGTTTGTTTAATGCTGATAACATAAGGATCTAAGCTTGAACAATCTAACAAGTCAATGAGGGCCAATAATTTTACGCTCACCAGATGTCGCTAGTTGGGAGTGAGGAGATCTTTTGTTACACAATTGTCATTGTAATTGAGAATTTTTTATATAATAAAATTAATCCCTCCCTCTCCTTACAGTTTCATTCCACTGCTGGTGATGGACCGTTACATCCTATAAAAACCCCCAATGAACATAGGCCTCCACTATATTCCTCATAGAGGGTATACTTGTCATAGTTGCCACGTTCTGTTCCACGGTACACGTACCTTGTTGTATTGAACAGTGGATCAGTCGCCTCTTACGAAACCCACGGAATAGTATGAATATTCATACACCGCCACTACACAGTAATTGATAATTTCTCGAAACATTTCATTTATCGATAAATCGTCTTGCAATCGTCGTCACTCTAGCGCTGACTTGACCTTCATATAAATAATTCGATATTTTAATTGTTGATAATTTTTTATTTTTGGATATGAACATAGTAATGACTCTAAGTTATTTTTACCATTTTTTTTAAAAATCTTGTGGCCTGACCTACTATACTCTTTGGCTTGACCATAGTTCTAACTAAATATGTCATATAAAATGTCAAGGTCTGAGAGGTTAAATAACAGTCTATCGGTTTATAATCAACTTCTCCCGCCATGAAATCTGTCAAATGTTTCACCTCATTTCTAAGTGGCGCCGCCGTGCTGGCAGAAAAGTCATGGATGCCCTCATTACGTAGGCTCCACGTATAAAGTCAAAGTAAACTAAAGATACAGCCTATATACATCCCACAGCAAATACCTCGTCTCATTTTTGAGAGGCTTATGGAGGGATAAGTCCGGCGAGCTGCTCCAGTGCCTATTGGCGGACTTCACATGTCTTCAAATCCGAAATGTTTTATTCCCCCAGACTTATGGTTTCCGAAGTTTTTTTTTTCACCGTTTAAAAAGTGGTAAATCAGCACTTTAAATTGCAATTAACAATATCATTGATGCCGGCGGAGATCGAACTCGTTTCGCTCATAAATTGTAAAATTTACTAGTGGTTAGCCCCTCAAGCTACCATGACACATTGGAGCCAAGTATAACAGTTCTATTATTTTTTAACAACAAAACAATTGTCTCTTTTAAATAATATTATTACAAAATTGTTTGTATTGTCAGCTAATACCTATCTTGGGTAAATTTTGCTCTAAGGCTTATGTAGATATTATGTTGGGAATTTACCTAATAATAAAATAAAACTAAATAATAAAATATTTTTTCTCGCAAATAGTATTGATTATACTATACTAAAATTGCCTACGACTAAAATGTTTCACACAATTTGTTCGTTAAGGGCCGATCCTTCAATTCTTATAATTCTTATTCTAAAATTTATTCATAGAATAAAATAGAACATAAGCAAAATTAAAATTACAGTTGTATAAATAAAGTTCAATTGTTTCACATGTTATAATTCATTCGACAGATAACTTTTATCAGATGATTAAAAAAATCAGACCATGTTGTTAAAAACTATTAGATAGTTAAATTACCCATGACATTAAATTATTTATAGGAGACCGTTTCGTAAGTCTAGAAAAAAATTTACTACTCAGACAATAGATGCCTTATTACAAAACAAAACACGAATTTTACCTTTAAATAAAAACATACTTGATAAGTATGTTCTTGTTCAAAAAAGTAAATAATTCAAAAAAGAAATTTTCAGTATCCAGCCATCTCTATAAATAATTTGACGGCTTTGCTATGTAACTTTCAATTGGTATTTTCACTAGATATATAATAGTTTGTATATTATATAAAGCTAGTTTCACAAATGAAGTGCTGCAAATGAGTGCATTCAACTAATAAAAATGTGCCATTAACTGTTTAACCCCGTAAGCTCATACATGTCATTGTTCGTAAAAATAAAAATGTAAAATTATAAATAATTTTATTATTAATAAATATTATTAACAAACGCTTTTTATTTCAATATCGATTACGATTTGAATGAACAAACTTTACCTAAATACGCAGAGCATTTTATAATGTAGTGAATACTCTAAGCACTAAATAGGTATCTTGAATCTTGTACACATTATCATATCTAAGGCACAGAATAAATAATAGCCTAAGGCAAGTCCACAAAGTATCTTTTTATATAATATATACAGACATTACGTATGTCTTCGCGGTGTATGTTATTAAATTAATATTAAATCCCCCCCCGGATTCGCCAGCGTAGATCATTTAGATAATTAATGTCCAAATTTTGCACATAAAATATTATAGTTCATTGCTCTTTATCGGTTCGTAGTTTCGTTACAATTGGTTCATCCAACCATTCCGAAGATTAGCCCGGACAGACACAGACAAAATTTTTAAATATATGTAGTTATTCATGTCTTAACCGGTTCAGTGCGGATTGCACGCCAGGCGTGCCATCGAGTATTTTTGTGTGTGGCGTATGACACGCGAGTCGTGTCTTATTTTAATCGAGGGTATAAATGTAGATGTCTATGGGCCACGGTGGACTGTATGCTCGTTTGTTATTCTCTAAAAAAAACCTCTGTCACAAGTCCAGTATTTTAGATCTGGCGTACTGTATGGAATGGTAAGTGGTATACCACATACCGCCAATTATTGAAGCTATACGATCTTCTATGTCTAATTATCTTCTATTGTATTCTAATAGACCGGCGATTCAGAACAAAAACTATGGCACAGCTGTAGACCGCACGGACGCGGGGTGGGTGTGTAGCTGGCATGGTAAATATGCCACGCAATTATATTTTCATTTACGACAATTAATTTTTAGGCAAATAAGAAATAAAAGTTACATACTTATCTGAAATAAACTTCGCATCACTGACAAAGGACGCAAATAAATAATAACAGCGATTCCTTAGCCACATTAAAATAAAATCAGTGTTAGATTGTCGAAAATAAAGTTCAAGATCTGGCCTTCTAGACTGCTCGCAGTCCTCTATAGGAGTTATGGAGAATTGACCGTAAGTTAGTGCGCGACGTAAAATGACCGCTTAGCTCGTCTAGTAGTATAGTAAACAACACAGGTCCTTAAAGCTATGAGATATGAATATGATTTCTGGCATTTCTATTCGTCTCTCATTCACGGGACGAAGTGGGGGTGACCAATTTTCTTACTCTACTACCATACAGCCATAAGAGTATATAATAAAACAGAATATCGTAATAAAAACACATATATTTTGCTTTTATATTTTACCAAAATTTTGGATCAAGTCCAACAGGCAGTCTGCGGGTTACATCACCGTCACTATACAAGCTCCGCGCCCGGATTCAACCGCCGCTTTACGCATAAGGCCTTTTGGTTTAACGCCAAGTTTAATGGATCCATTTTCACACATGAGAACAAAACAACCTTCTCAATATACAGAGAGCTCAGGTAGGGGACTGAATTCACCACCTCGTAAAATTATAAAACAATACAAAGCTATAAGCAAACAAAAATTTCATAGTAAAGATAAATACATATCAATCTCAAAGTAGCTCAACCCTATTTCATACCTAAGTAAAGTGCAATAATATACATGCGCCTGCGCATGTATTATAATTTATAACAACACTGTTAACTCTGCTCAATATTTACAAGAGGGGCTAAAAGATACTATATAAAACACAATTGATAATAAAACAAAGATAAAACGAAACCTAAACATGGTATTAGCAACTAACAAAATGACAACATTTTTTTGTACATTTCTATAATCATTAATAATTTTTGGCTGTACCAAATTGGCGAATGATAAATCCATAAATGGCGTAAGCAGTAAAATAAATTACCTACCGTATAGAAAAAAAGAAACCATGACATTAACAACAATTCAATATTCGCCGACAAATCATCTCATGATGTAACAAGAAAAGAGACAAAATTGTTTTGTGACCATTGAAATTTATGCCAACAATTGTTTAGCCAGTTCAGTCGACTTTTAATAAAAAAAATTTAAAAATTGTTATTACAGTTCAAAAAGTAGGCACGAATTGATCTAAAATAGCCATTTTTAGAAACAATTTACTTGAATGAGACTGTAACAAATATAATAATACTGGAGCAAAGAAATCAATATAAAAAAATTTATGTTCAAATTTAATCCCATATTTTCAACAGTCCAACAAGTAAACCGCAGTGTTATATGCAGTCCAGTTATAATTTAGTCGAAAGATAACTTTTATCCAATAATTGAAAAGTGACCTTAGAATTATAAAATTATAGTGTACAGAACCATCGAATTAAACTGAGTTTTACTAGAAAGTGAAAAGAATACGTAGTTCGACCATCGATCACTAATAAAAAACTAGATACACAATCCCATGCAAGTTTTCTAAAAACTGTCGCCAATTGTTTTGACGTAATTCTAGTTGAAAATACTTAATAGTACTTAATAGTATTATCGTCAGTGGTATGTCTTGCCATGTGTAGTGGTGTTGGGAGTAGCGGTGCTGGGATTAGTGGTGACGAGGATAGTGCACGCAATTGAGGGAGGGCGGGAGGTGCTCTTCACACTAGGTAAGACACATCATTTTATTTTATAACGCGGATATTTGCGAAGTAAATTTTTCTAAAAGCTTTTATATAATGGATTTCCGCAAAGTAACACCTGATTCTATTAATTACATTTTTTGTCACTGATTGTGTATCTAGTTTTTTATTAGTGATCGATGAGTTCGGCAAATACACAACTGTGAGCAGGATAGTAATTACTCAAAAGTGAGAAAATTGTGATTACTAAGGCTATATATCATAGGTATATAAATTTTTATTTTTTATTGGTACATTTATAGGCAGCTAACAGATACAACATGACGACGGAGTACGACTTATTTCAAATCGCCTTATTGCACTTGCGATTATTTAATTTTTGTGTATGTATATACATTCTGAGTATGCAAGTATATTCTTTCATTCTGCATTTTGAATAATATTTTCTTTGATTTGTGATAAGAGTGATTTGAATTGAGTTTAAGTCTTTAAAAACATGTGGATAAGAAGTCTGAATGATAATTACAAATATATTAATATTGATAATTATGCTTAATATTATTGTTAGAACCCTTTTTATTTATGTACAGAAAATTAAAATATTAGTACCATATAAATCAAAACTTGCACAACAAATAAATACGAACTGAGCCAACAATTTGTACATTAATTGTTTTAATCATATTGTTTTTGTTGAGGTATGGGAAATACATAAAAATTTTTGGTAAAGCCAATTATAATAGAGCTCTTTGAAGGTTACTTATATTCTACGTCATGAGCTTTCATAGACAACAAATAATTGTAACCTAATATTGTACCAGCCCAGCACTGCAAATTACAAAAAAAAAACATATTTTAAGTCACCTTATTATATGTGATGTAAACAACAGGCACAAAAATATGTAGCACTTAATGAATCCACTAAACTTTGGCTTCGGTGGGTGGGGACACACGCGCCAAACAAAATATTGTACTCGTAACAAAAAACAAACGGTCCATAAAGAAGTATCACGCGTGCGTCCACGCCACATGTCACAACTGTATCACTTGCAACATTTTAAATATACAGAAAAATAACTCTCTTAAGCTCGGAGCACCGGTAAAAGGTAGATGAAACTTATGCCCTTAAAACAAAAAAAAAAAAACAAAAATTATCTGTGTTTGTGAATACAAATTTGCAATAACATGTCGCTGGCCACTTTATACAACGGAAAGTGTGTATTATATTTAATATAAACTTTTTTGTTTCAATGTTTCTATTGCCTAAAATCAGATTTATCACAGTGTTGCAATATCAAAACCAAAACGTATTTTAAGAAAATATATTCTCGTTTTCAGTCTAAAATGTAGTTTCTGAATTATTTGACACATAACAGCAGTTTCGAAAGTAATGCAATGCCAGCGCCATATTTAGCACGCAAAAGGAAATAGAAATATGTAAGCAAAATTATTCACATTTTTACTGCCTTTTGTTGGACAAAAGATTTCATTTACCCTTTCTCTTGGAACAGAGCATTTAAGGTACAAATTTTTGGAACAATCAGTTGTACAGTGGTCGTTTAGAACAATTATTTAAAGGTTATAAATCACTTTATTGATATTTGAGTCATTGATATAGCAATATATATGTATAATATACAATTGGAACTCCTATTATTATTAATTACCTAATTTCTCTTCATAAATCACAATCGGTAACAAGATAACTCAATATGCAACAGTCTAGAGATTTTTTTGTCTTCCATCAGTTTTCTACACAATATGTTGTGGAGCGGAGCCCTGACAGAATGTATAAAACCAGTCTTTGCCAGCCGCTCGAGGTTCTCGGCTTGGGATTGTTATGCATCAATATCACAACTAACATGAGAGAACGACGCCTCCTCTTATAAACAATTAAAAAATAAATACATGACTAAAAACACACCAGCAGACACGCAACTAACACCACAAGAGTACTTCTTGAAGTCGCCGGCGTAACGTTCTCGCTGATTACATTCCTATCTACATTTGCTAACTTAAACTGTATGTACATATTGGAGTGCTCACTTGGACTAACCAACACTCTTATATAAATTGGTTACTCTTAAAACTAACATAAGGACACTTGGAACACAGCGAGACAACGGAAGCTTTGGTCATGCGGCCGCGGACCTAGAGACTGTACAATTTGGCACTTCACATCTCTGAGTTAGCACGCGGGAATCATCACAGGAGCGCGTCAGTCAATCACGACATACGGGAGAGCGATCAGATCGCCGAGTTTGGCGCACTCATGCCACTCAGCGAATCGAACATGTCTTGGGGGTCGATCTAGCTCGTCACGGGTAGTTTCCGCAGCCGCATCGGCAAACGTCTCTTCCAACCTGTCCGTAGACAATGACACCACTGGTGCAATGCTCGCTTGCTCGTATTTATACGGTATCGCATTTCGAGCACTCTCGCATAATGCATACAACCCTTTCCCATCAAGCTCTTCTTTCGTCCTCTCCACAGTCCTATGCTCCTGCGGTTCACTCACAAACTCCTCCTGCACTTCCATCTTCACTACAGGTTCACTTTCTCCAAATTGTTTCTTTTCTTCAACAGATAGCAATGGAGCCTTCAATCTTTCGCTCGGCTCCAAATTCGGCACGCCGACCATTTCTGCTTCTACTTTTGGACACTCGTAAACAATCTCTTCAGTCTTAGGACTGTCTGGTTCCACTTTTACCTCCGTCTCTTCCGGTGCTTCATCTTCAACAGGATACGGTCTAGGCGGAGGCGGGGAAGGGGGTGGTGGGGGATCCGGCGGCGGAGGCGCAAATTCGGTCCACGGTAAATGCGTACAAATAGGCACTCGCGAGATATTTTTCACACAATAATCATCCGCATAATCCGAGTATTTATATAGAGGCACAACACTAGTGAACAACCCGGGTTTGTCGGGATCGGTGAGCTTGCGTACAGCAAACTGGTGAGGGTGGAGGGGAGCACGCGTGCCGTTCACCCCAGGGACGAGCGCGTTGTGCAGCGCGTGCACGTGTTCCGGGGCGACTCGCCGTAGTACGGCTGCAGGACACGTGTCTTGAATCTCCTCCCCACAAGTGCACTGTTCGCGTTCGCACGCGAATTCGTCGTCGAGCGGTGACGAGGGAACGGGGCTCGCGGGTGCAGAGCAGAGCTTCGGCTCACTGCTGCCATTTCGGAGTGGGGACTCCACTTTGGGATATGCTGGAATGTTGTTTAAAAGAAATTTAAAATTTAGAAAAATATTAAATACAGATTGCATATGTTAGCATCATAATAAGTCAATAAAGTTTTTTTTGTATAGAAAAAGGGTGACAAACGAGCACACAGTCCACCTGATAATAAGTGGATGCTGTGGCCCATAGACATCTACATTAATCCTCAATTAAGAATCAAAATGCTGATGCATTGTCACCTCTGAGGACTAAGATGGAAAGCCTCCGTTCCAGTAAAACTGGGCCTCTGGTTCTCTACACTCACCATACGAAACATAGCAGTATTAAGCTGCTATTTAATGATAGTCTTCTGTGAGAGTGTGGTCCTACCCGGGTCGAGCCGACCCATTGGTGCTACAACCACAATATAGCTGCAGCGTGGCTCTACCACATTAAAAATACAGAAAGAAAGAATCTAACAATTTTTAGGCAGCTATAACAGACAGTAATAATCTTTTATATATATATAATTAAAAGTAATAATAACTGTCAAAATAAAACCTTTTAGAGTTCATTTCATAAATGGATTTGAACTTTTTACACAACAACTTTTCCCATGATATTTTTTTTAACCTGTACCCATTACTATGAAATATTAAGGCGAGAATTTATCTTCCGAGCGATCTAAAGTTATAGGGCATTCAAAATAACAGTTGTTACATGTTACATGGACTTATTTATTCATGTGTTAGTATTGTCTATAGCATAGTCCTTGACGACACTATAAGGATGTATGTGAGTAGAATGTATAATTCTTTTTAGTAAAATTAGAATATGAACACATAACCCACCTTTCTATAAGTTGTATCATTTTGCAGCATCTGCCCATATATGGCAGCTATTCTCCAAACACCACTGGGCTTGTTATGTATGACTTTGATATGTATGATTAGATGTACTTGTGCTAAGTAGCAGATTGGTAGAAGATCCGTTCCAGTCAGATTATTAGGCAAAGAAGTTACTTTATCACCTAATAAAACAGTGAGACACTCACAGTCGGGCTCTATGAGCATGACGTCGGGCGAGGCCGGGGAGGCGGGCGAGGCTGGTCGGGAGGCTGCCTTGCTGCCTCGCGACTGGATTTGCTCCAGGAGCTCCTTCGTCGTCTTCACCTGAAACATATAAATGTTTCCAATTTTCACAACAACTAAGGCTCTATAAAACAACCAATACTAGAAATTAAGACATACTATTGTATATTCTTTCGTCGGCAGATTCGTCATTATACAAGCGGCGTCGTGGGTTTGCAAACGCCCACTGGCTTGCGAAACGCCGATGGTAAATTGTAAAGGGCCTTGTCATTCTCTAATATTGTAGTCTGATCGTTAAAGTTGGGTAGATCGTAATCTGCCTGAGCACTTCATGATACGTCGCCATTTCATGTTTGCCAGATAATTTATAACTTTGACTTCTATACAAATAAATAAAATTGAAGTGTCTGTTTGTAATGTCAAAATTACAGCTTTTTACTAAATGCATATGAAAGTATATATGGTACTAATAACAAAAATACAATTTTTAAAGACGGACAAAGTCTGTCTGTCTGTTTGTTCCGGCTGACCTCCGAAACGGCTGGACCGATTTTAACGGGATTTTCGCTGCCAGATAGTTGATGTCACAAGGAGTAACTTAGACTACTGTTATTTTAGAATAAGCATTATAGTTCCGCGCAAAAAAATTAAAATCCCAAATAACACGCGGGTGAAGTCGCAGAGAACAGCTAATCTTGAATAAAACTATTTATACGGATTTTATCGCGTTTAATTAACTTATTTTTAATTCCCAACGTTTCTGGTGCTTCACAGCACCCATGGTCACCAGGGGGTACTGAAATGTTTGACGACCCAATGTCATATTTAGCCTGGCTATATTCAGTTTTTGAATATCAATTTTTGTCCGATTTATAAATCATTAAATGGCGGTGTATCATGAAATGTCCAGACACATAATGATCTTGTCCATTTCTACCACGACGACATATTAATTTGCTGAGTGTTTTCAAAGAGACGACGCCGTACAAGAACAATATTCACACATATCTCCAAGGAGACATAATCACAAAACATTAAATTAAGAATAAATAATATAAGAGTTTAAAAAAACCTTAAACAACATGCATTGATCATGAGCTGTGATGATCCAGATAATTATTTTATATTATCCTGGTGGTCCTGATCAGGATACTAGGATAAAGTTATTAAATTATTGTACAGTCATCGGTCCTTGAGACGAGTATACATTTTTAAGTCAAGCGGCCATCAACAAGTTGGTGAATATTACATTAAAAGATTTCGTTACATATATAGATACACGCGCAGCTAATAAGAGCGTGATAAAAAGTCACCTTCTTCGCGCCAGCCGGTGGCAACCTATTGACAAGCGCTGCGTACGGGTCTACAGCGTCCCGTCGGCAGCCGTTCCGTCTCCTCTCGTGTGCGTGTGCGTGTGTATGCGTGTGTGTGTGTGGCGCTGCGTGTGTGTGTGGCGCTGCGTGCGTGTGTGCGTGTGCCGATCCGTTGCGGGCGCTCCAGGCCGTGCCGGGTGCTCCGGGGCCTGCGCCCTCCGGTATGGCTGTCGTCTCCGTACCGGAACCGGCACGACTGTGGCCCCTGGTAAATGTAAAAAAATGTATAATTTTTTTTTTCTATCCAACTCTGTAAATCTTGGTAATATAGATGATATACAACTCCGAGAGTTCGCACATAATTACAAATCAGGCCGCCGTAGACTATGCAAAATTTAAAAATCCTTGATGATAACAAAGATGGCGGATCATCATCATCATCATCATAATCAAAATTTAAAAATCCTTGATGATAACAAAGATGGCGGATACTATGTATCAAAATACGATAATATAACATACACTAAATATACACGCTTCGGTGCAAATAAGCGAATGCCTTTGATATATTTATTAATTAATTTTCTGCCCTCGGGGGAACTCTACGCAAGCCGCATGTGAATAACTCTTTTACACATTGAGTGTTGGATTGTTGTTAGGGAGTTGGAAGATTGTGCAAGCGCCAGCATAAGAATTTATCTAAAATTAATTCTAAATTTTAGTACACAAATAAATTTACTTGAAACAAATTATGTTATACACAATTATTAATAATTCGTGAATAAGATTCAGTCCTTACCTTCTTTTCTTGGGTTTTTTATCCCTCTTCGCCTTCTTGTCATCGTGCAGAGGCTCAGGGGATGGTTGCCTCTTTATTGCTAAAATTAAAAGTACATCCTATGAAAAACAACGCAAATGATGGATATTATAGTTACTCCTATTTTTCAATAAGATAAGAATCTGAAATTAGGATAAGAACATAATATTTTTTTATATTACTATACACTTTTTTACTTGCTTAGTAAGCAAAAGCAAAAAAAGTTTGTGGTGTAAACCAATTCTTCTGTGAAATCACCAATTTACAACAAAAGACAAAAATAAGAAATATATCAGTTCACTTACGAGGCGTAACCGGTTTGTGTAGTGCGTTCAGCAAAGGAGGCGGCGGCAACACTGTGGGCGGGTCGTCGTCTACAAGGATCACGTCCTGCGAGTCAGACTCGTAGCCACCCCACGCTGAAAAATAATTACAATTAATAACACAAGTGGACAAAGTTGTAACGATGTGTATAGACGGCGACACAAGTCGTGCGTACGTAGTAGAATCACGCTAAAAATATGTACATTATTATGGATACAACATGAATAGGTCGGCTTGACCGGGGCACCACATTCGCACAAAATACCGACGTGACGTAGCAGCATAATTGTACTGTTTTGTGTGGTGGGTGGTGGGAACCGGAGACGTACATGAGCCACAGCATTCACTCATTTTTTTATCATCAGGTGGACTGTGTGCCCGTTTGTAGTTATTACATAATGTTTGTTACGGACTGCGAGGGTTTCCGCAGTCTTAGTTAAGTCTTCAGTTAGTAAATTTTAGTTGTATATGGTAGAGCCATGCTGCAGCTATATTAGTAGTATAGTTGTAGCACGAATGGGTCGGCTCGACCGGGGAAGGACCACGCTCTCACAGAATACCAGCGTAAAATGGCAGCTTGACACTGCTGTTTCGTATGGTGAGTGTAGAGAATTGGAGACCCATTTTACTGGAAAAGAGGCATTCAATCTTAGTCCTCACGGGTGATGACGCATCTGCATTTTGATTCTTTATTGAGGATGGATGTAGATGTCTATGGGTCACAGCAACCACTTACCATCAGGTGGACTGTGTGCTCGTTTGTGACCCTATCCTATAAAAAAATACTTGCTCTCCCCACCCTTTTCAAGGTATGTCAATCAATAGCCGCTGTCTATTAGATATTCGCATGACGTTCGCTAACTGTACATCTGTTAGAGGTACGCATAAATTTGTCTGTGATTGTTTTCCAAATTATGATATTACATGTGTGAGTGCCATGTTTATAGTTGTAGCAATAGGTCGGCTCGACCGGGGTTTGCCCACGCTCTTACAGAATACCAGCGTAAAATAGCAACTTAATTTGTTTTGTTTGACGAGTGTAGAGAACCAGAGACCCTTTTTACTGGAAACGGGGGATTTTATCTTAGTCCTCAGGGTTGACAACGCATCTGCATTTCGATTCTTAATCGAGGATAGATGTAGATATCTATGGGCCACAGCATCCACTTATCATCAGGTGGACTGTGTGCTTGTTTTTCACCCTTAGTCTATAAAAAAAATCTTGTTCTTTTACATTCCTAATCAGTACAAATTTAGGATTTTAGAGACTGGAGTAACCACTGCTGTGTTTACAAAATTATAAGAAAAATTATGATGGAGTTCAGTACCAAGGGGCAAAGATAAAAAGTGGTAGACGAGGATAGGGGATAAAGACTTATAAGTTTCATAATAAGCAATGCTTTTATTAACTGCTGCAAACATTGCTGGTGCTTCTTTAACCCATTAATAAAAGGTTTTCTTTTCAAAAATGATTTTCTATGAAATAATTATATTATACATATATTATCCAACAATTATAGTTTTTTTCTTACTTTTACGCTTCACTGTTTTCTTAAATGTCGACAAATTTATTGGTGCGGTTAGGTTTAAGTACAGTACTTGTAAGTAATCGCACCAAATATCTTTGTCGATGTTTTTTTGATACCAAATATCGGTTAATTTCTAGTTTCAGCTATTCTATAAGCTTAATGATTTTCTCAGACCTTGGTAACCCAAGAAGGTAAGCTTATTTATGAAATTTGGAATTCTCGGTACTCAAGGGTCCTTTATAAGGTAGGTATGCAAAATTATAACTGTGTAAGTCTAATTGTTTTTGAGTTATGGGGTTTCAAAAGTAGCTCGAAATTGTTTGCGTGAATGTACACACTGCTGGTTCGTCATCTTTTTCTCTCCAGAACTTGGCTGTCAGACTACCATGTGTCTAGAGATGCTCATGAAGAAACTTACCCGGCCGAGACGGAGGTCTGGGGCTGGGCACCGCCGGGCTCACGACATGCTGCAAATTAATTTATGTTCAACATGTATCACTTATGTGATGATGATGATTGTTAAGTCATCCATCCATTACAGCCTATAAAAGCCCACTGCTGAACATAGGCCTTCCCCATAAACTGTTTTATAGCGGGGATTTAGCCATAGTTGCCACGGTTTGCAGGCAGGTTAGCGCAACCGCAAATTCTTAGAGTTCTTCTCAGGAAGATGGTGCTGCCCATTTTCAGTTTCCCTCTGTCGCCTCTTACGACACCCACGGGACGATATGGGGTAGTGGACCATACACCGCCTCTACACAGTTGATTATTAAGTACCAAACCCAAATCCACAGATCCAAACAACACAGATGATGTAGGTTAGAGGGTCTTGCAGCTCTGCCCTCTCCAACACATCTGCAATGTCGTGACATCGATCGCTGGTCT